AATGTGACTTTCATTTTCAGCAAAATAAATGCTGCATAGAGAAAACAAAGTTTTTGTACAACTCCTAAACCTTAATGAATCAATATCTCACAAAATAATAACTTCCTTGTCATTCTTTGCAAAACAGTTAAATTCACTAAATTGGCAAAGCATTACTGAGTTTCAGCCAGTATGTGAACACTTCCCATACATATAGCAAACATGTTTCAATAGTTTTTTTTTCTGTTTTTTTTTTTTTAATTTGTTTTGGGTTTTTTTGCAGCAATCTCTGTCATGCTTTGTCACCTCACTGTGGAGATCTCTTACAGGCATTTTAGTCCAGATACAGGAATAGCAGCTTTGTCATTCCACTGACATTTTTGTTTCTCCTGTCAAGAGGCGTTGAATGACCTTGAAGAAAAAGTAGTGAAGGAGACCGTGGAATTTTCTTTTTCAAACTTTACATGCCCAAAGCGCCCACCTAACACATTAGCCCTGGCCATGTCAACAAAGTCAGACTGAGGCACTGGCTGAGTTGCCAAGAAGATATGTTAATGTCACCACAGTCTAGGTTTTTTATGCAGAGGTGGACTCATTTTATTCAGTGCATGTAACTGTGAGAGCCATATAAGCTTATTTGTTTCAAATGTATTTGAGCGGGAACACAACATAAAACCACGTTTTGTTTAAAAGAAACCAATATCCTGCTTATAGTGGCTCTAGTCAAAGGTTAAGCTTTTAAAAGTCAAGCTTTCAAATCAACAATACTAGTCTCATTGTCTGGCATTAAATATGACAAAAAAAAAAATTCTGTTCTCGGTACATTTTAGAGGATTTTTTTCAATCCACTTTAAATTTAGATGTTAGTAATAGTTTTAAGTTTTTACTGTAATTATTTTTAAATTAAATGGATCAAACATTTTAAATGTCCTTCCAAAAGTTTGTCATAGTAGCCTGATGGAATGTTTGCCTATTCTTTCTGAGTAAACAGAATATCAACAAACAAATATACCTAAACTACAACTATTGTTATCTACATTTTTACAGGTCAGACTGGTCTAATTTACAATCCAAACTCAATTCAACTCAATCTAATGAATTCCAATTTAATACAAATAGATTAAGAGTCAGTTATTTTTACAATGCAGTCAAATTAAATGAATATGCATCTGTGATTTTCTGTTTAACAATACTTAGCGAGAAGCATGAAGCCAATGACTTTACAGACAGCCCTTGTTCTGAACTAGCATGTGGTGACGCTGGAGAGTAATTACTCCATTTTAGCAGAGAGAGACATCCAGCAGAACCTCACTCCACTGAAAGTAGCCATATGTTAGTTAAGGGGATTGGAAGGAGTCGTAAAGGAAACACAGAAGCACTGATCCAGGAGGGCATTCAAAGTAAGTGAGTGCAAAAAACTACCTGAAATATAGTATGTGTTATATAACATGGGTAAGAGGTACTTCACTTTTGATCTGAAAAAAAATATGTTTCCACTGTTAAAAAGCATGACCCATTTTAACAAGAAAATCCTCCCTTTAGAACCAGGCTCAGTATCAGCAGCCATGTGCTCTGACTGGCTGAGTGTTAAAAACCATTCTACTATCGCCAAGTTTGTTTTTGTTTTTTGTTTTTTTTATGCATAAGCAGTTGCTTTTTATGCATAAGGCCAGCCTTATTTGATAGTTTTTCCCATTTTAAAGTAATCTGTTTCTTAAAGTTTTTTTTTTTTTGCTATATTTGAAGAAAGTGTTCAAATGACTTATGTGTCTTTTTTTACTTTATTACCAATTCTCAATAGAACTGTTTGAGTCAGCCAAATAACAGAGGCGAGAGAAACTTGACAAGAGCAGCTAAGTAATAATGGTAACAAATGTTTAACTACATATTTCTTGTGCCGAGAGTTTATGCCATCAGGACACAGTTGGATTAATGAAAATAAGTTCAAATCTGACATCCAGTTCTCGATTAATCTAAAAACTGACCTTTTGTATAATTTGTTAATTTCTTGGGCGACAGCTCAGGGACAATTTTAATCAGGTTTTAAAATCTTCTTCATCACATGAAACAGCAGATGGTGATTTCTACTTTTAAGACTGGCTGATTGTTATGAACACACCTTTCACACAGCAACAGAAGCACAATCATTTGTTTGTGTTTTGACTAGATCTAAAATATATTATTTAAAATCTTACTCTACTGTCTCCCAGAGACACTTTGTCAGTCACAGGCACATATTGTTTATTTTCCATTTTTAAATAGTCCTTAATCCTTTGGTTCTGAAGATTTTGAATGCGCAAAGGAGCATCTTTTTGTCGATTGAGTTGCATCCAGAAGCGCTTCTGTGGCTATAGAACAGCCTCTGGTATTAGCATGTATAAACAGGCTTATAAATGGAGCAGTATTTCGCTGTTCATTTTCATCCTCTTAACAGTAAACAAGGCGGAACAGGCCCTGACACCCTGAATAAATAGAGACCAGTGCACACAAATTCAGCCGCACCGAGAAACCGTGGGGGTTTGTTTGAGTTAAGGTCAATCCTGTTTAGATTACTTTGGTCATAAGCCATTTTTTTTTTTTAGTTTTGTTTGCTGAGCTTTCTCTGTGGAGGATCATGCATTCATGTATTCTGAAATCTGACGTAATGAATATGACAGCGTCTGCAAGGGTTGTAGACTTATTTTCGAGGTGAGCTCTGTTTGTGTGTTTTGGAAAAGGCTAGGGGTTTACAAAACAATCTGCACAGTGGGTGCACTTTTATGCAGTACAAATAAATGTACACTTTGCACAAACCCATGGGACCATGGCTACATGGTACTATACATGCATGCATGTGTTCAGTTCACTATGTGCTTTTGTCAGTTGTAATACAGTCCACGTGTTTATGCTATAAGACATTTAAAGAAGGGTCTAAGATTTGTTATAACAACTAAAGCCTGACATGTCACGAGATATCAATTACACCAGCATTATTTTTTGTAATAACAATACTGGAATTTACTTAATATCTTTTAAACAGCTACTATATTTGAGAAAATACTGAGAAAATAATAGAGCAGAACCACAGCTTTTCCCACTAAAGTTTATGAAACTTACTCAGAATGTCAAAGAGCACAGATAAAATAAGAAATTGTAATGGGTAGTAAATATTACTTTTTTATTTTCTCTACAATCACAATAGTTCAGTGCCATCACAATAATATCACTTAGCAGGACTGATAACGATATGTCTTTAATGTTTTAAATCAACTCTGTAGAATTAGTCAAACTAACTGCAACTGCATCGACTTTTTAATCTTGTCTGTGTTGATTTGACAGTGGAATCTGGTGAAAGTAAGACAAGAAAACTGCTCAAAGTTGCCATCTTACTGGAATATCTCAAAACATCTTCTACACGAATCTAAGCATAAAAAACAAAATGCATTTAAATCAGTCTCATGTCCTTTCATACCAATGAAGTATGTGGGGTGCTTATGAAGCACACACATTTTCTGTAATGAAATACAAAGGCTATAAAAGACATGATGTACCACCACATCAGGAAAGGCTGTGCTGCATTTGTAGTAACATCCCTGTTTTCATTTTATTTTATTTTTTTCTATTCTGGAACATCATCTTTTCACATCCCCCCTAGCCTCACTGTGGATTGTTTCTGATCTATAATCCTTTACATATCTATTTTCTACAAAAATCACTTTGTTCCATCTCTACATTACCTGCTTGATATGTTTTTGGTTTTTTTGTACCTGCTGTAGACTTACTATTTGGATTTGGGAAAGTGACTCTGTTCTTACGGATCATAGAAAGATTACTGACATTGAGTAGTATCAGAAATCTTACACTGAGTTCAAGATCAGATATGTTTTAACCAGACTTTGACTGAGGTTTGGACTAGGCCATGGAGCAATGCCTTTTGAGGGACTGAAGACTGGTAAAGCTGCAGAAGCACAGGGAAATAATCTTGTCACACAGAATGCTATTTGGTGAAGAGTTTTAGAAGAAGTGCCGTTAACTTGCACTACCTGCACATTGGCAGAAAAGGAGGGTAGCACACTGCTAAGCGGAAGGGGCAGCAGAGGTACAGGGCATGACAGTGATATGTGTTATGGCCTTTCAGAACTTTTTTGAAGTGTCAGCATTACTATCACTTGCCAAAGACTTTTTGAACAGCACATGATGTGTTCAAGAGCACTTCAGTTTAGAGGGCCTGCTAGTTGGATAGCAAAAATATTTTATATAGTAGGTGCATTGTTAAAAATGTGTTTCCTGTGAAGTCATTGAATATAGATCAGTGTGTAAAAAAATAATGTGGAAAATATAGTATTGTATTTTACAAAAGTGACACACTATCCTTTGAACTATTCTGTTCAAAGGCAGAACTGCACTAAAATGCTTGGCAGTAATTTTAAAATTGAAGACAGGTGTATTTTACTGCTATAAGTAAAACAAACTCTTGTCTGGGCAGCTGGATGAGTTGGGGGTTATGGTATCCATTTAGTAAACTCCATCAGTCTCCCTTTAATAACGCAGATTATAACACTTGAGACAAAGCAGCATGTCATTGTGAATGGCCCCCTCTTGGCTCACGCCAAACAGAGATGTGACTCAGAACGTGGATTGAAATGGGAAATCACACTCAAATATGTCTGCCTTCACTAACATAGTACAGGCACCCCGCTCCCTTTAGCGACCTGCTTTGAGTTATTTATGATGTCGAAACTAATCTCACTTAGTGCTACAGGCTCTCCAAAAAGGAGGCCCTCCTCCTGAGTTGACTGCCGAGCAAGGGATGAGGAACAGATTGAGGAAAGGAGAGCAAGTGCAGAGCCACCGAGGACTTATTCAAATCCTCCCTCATAGATTAGCAATCGCAGCTTGACAAGCCGCCCTGCAAGTTATAATTTATTTAATTTTTTTGGAAATCGATGCTGCTTCTTACTAAGATGTCAGAAAAAAAGGGGATGGGGGAGGGGGTTAATCCGTTTGGAATTTACAGGCGATGAAACATGAGACAAACTCACCAGCATGTCATCGAGTCCTGAGGATGGGGGAAGTGAAGTATTTAAATGAGGTCTGGAGGCATTAAGGCAGCTGTCATTCAGATTGGTGCTCTGTGGCTTTGTTTGTCCATGATGAATAGAAGCTCCCACTGTTTAGGCCTGTAAGATTTACAAACATTATGCTTTATATTTATTATAAATATCTTATTTTATATTCATTCTTTGACTTTGTACTAACATATGTATCGGGTATACATAGTAACTTTAGCTCAATGTAAAATTATTAGCCCAACTTGCAAGCTTGGCCTTAATGACCATTCATCTGTGATTTCTTTCTCTCTTGACAAAGGCTTAAACCATTAAGACAATCTTTCTGCTAAAACAAACATAACGTGACAAGTAGTGTCTGATGGACTCAACACATCGCCATTGTTGCAGCTTCCTCACTGGGACAGTGTTTTAAACAAATAAACAAAGCGTATAAGTGAAAGCCAGTCACCAGTCTCTCTCTGCTAATGCTGTTATAACAAAAACGTTCAGTTGCTTTCATTAATAGAAATAGAAAAACCACGAGATGTAGCAAAGTAAACCCAGTGTACAATATAATGGTGTTTATTGCAGGGTTTCCCCCTTGATTTATTTAAAGATGTAAGCAATTTAAAGCTGTGAACTCAAAAATATGCATCTTCAAAAGACAATTTTAAACCAATCTTCAGTGCATTTTTCAAACTTAAACATATTGCTCTTGAATGAATGAATATGCATGAAATATTAGCTTTAATTAGTGATATACTTTACAATTCCGAACCTTTATTGTTCTGCACATCGTTAACTTTAAATGAAACAAGTCGATTCCAGTTTAAATGCAGACTTTCAAGTTGAATTAATTTAGTGGGCTGAACAAAAAAGATTGCATGAAAACATGAATAACTGAACCTTTTTTTTTTTACACTTTTTTTTATTTCAACCCTCAAAAGGGAGAGAAAAACATAAAAACTTGAACTTTTTGCCCTTTTAGATCTTCTCTTTAGATGCTGAGTTGGTATATTAGAATAACAGCAAAATATCTGCTACAGACCAGGCCAGTTATAATGTGAAGAGCTTTAAGAGGAAAAATGTAAGAAACTAAAGCACCGAACATGGTGAGATTTTTTTTCTGGAGTCTGAGTGAATGTGTGTTTTTGTTTTCTTAATGAAATACTACTTAGTTTTTGTGTATCACTATGTTCATCTTCAAAACTGTCAATAAACCAAGCAACCAACCAACCAACAAGCATTTGGAGGCCTTAGCTCTGTGACATTTATAAATATTTGACAACAGATGAGGGGGCTCTGTGGGGTTCCACTCTGAGCACCACAGACAAGTCTGCTAATAAAGCAAAGGCTATCAGTAGATCTTGTCCTGAGGACCGCACAGAGTATCCAGACAGCAGGGAAAACACACACCTTCCAAGTGATGCAAGCAAAAAGATGCACAGTCTTTGTTTTTGCTCTGTTTCTCACATAGCGACACATGTAGACGCTCCCATCTGAGCAAAAAGGCACACATTATCAAGTAAGAAGAGCAGCAAGAGTTTGCCATCACAATCAATAATGGGGAAAATGAAAAAGCAATTAGATGCTTTGTTACCAGCAGTGATTGCAATGATACCGTGTGTAACCGTGTGAGAAAAGCTCTGTTTCCAAATCATCCCCTTGCATTTGCTCTGACACTCGAGACAAAGCGTTAGAAATAAAATAAGACTGGGATGGCCAGAGTGTGAGCAGTCAGAGAATTCTCATTGACTAGATAAGTAATGCAATGCGTGTGCTTGTCAGCGTGTATGTGTCTTAGCATGTGTTTGTGTGCATACCTCAGTCTTCTTCCCAGACAACTGTTAACCTTCCAGGTTTGAATGAGAAACAGGTGTTGGGGCCAAGCGCACCCTCTCTGAGGAAAAAACAAAGGCCGTGTAATCGCTGACACATTGCTAATAACGTACTAAATATCACCCAGCGAGGTGATTCAGAATGTTTTGTGGCTGAGTAGTTTGTTTATTGCTGTAGTATGTGTGAATAAAAATTGTAGCACACCTACCGTGTGGATTTTTTAAAAGCAAATTAGTGTTGTTTTTTTTTGTTTGTTTCCTTTTAAAGTGCCTTGCAAAATGAATCACACTGGCTTTTTGACATTTTGTAACGTTGCAACAATGTCAACAATGTTGATGCATTTTACAAGAATGCTATGTGGTAGATCAACAAAAAGTAAAGCTTAATTGTAAAGGAAGAAGAAAAAATAGACAACAGTTTGTTTGCTGCAATTCCAACTTGATGTCTTTTGCAATTTGTTTCTGTTAGGTTTTCACATCAAGGAGGATAAACAGCAACTTTGAAGACTTGGCACAAATTCTCAATGAATTTAGGTATGGATCCTTATCGGCCCATCTTAGCAGATACATATTCTTTATAGAAACCATTATACTTTGGACTGAACTAAAGGTGAATCACCACCCCTCAGCATGAGGCTGCCACTGCAGGGTGTCAGCATGGGGATGGTGTCTTCAGAATCATGTGGAGGGTTAGTGTTCCTCAACTCTACTACTAATAATATTTTTAAAAAAATTAAAGGGCTGAATACATGTGCTTAAATGTTTAAGTTTTTAATGTGAAAAATCAGCTAAAAAGTTGTAGAAAAAGAGAATCAAAACTCTTTTTAATTGTAATTCAAATGTAAAATTGCAAAAGAATATTTATTGTTACTTGTTGAAACTTTGTGTTCACAGCACTGACGTTGTTTGTACTAGTCTACATCTGTACAAACAAGATGTAGACTTTATTTGTGATCACCTTTCTACCCTTTCTTCTCATTCTTCTTTATATTTCTCAACCCCCCTGTCTTTCTGTCTGGTTCTTTATCTTGATCCCGCTGCATTTCCATGTACTTAGCAATTCCCCCATAGCCCTTTTTTTGTCAAGCTCCCCCATTTTCTTTAGTCAGTGTTGTTCACCCACCCGCACCTTTGATCGCCCTCACCTTTCCATTTTGCATGTGTGCCAAGATCTGAGGGCCAACGACACAGTGTACAGCCCAGTGGCCTAAAAGTGAATACTTACATAATTGCCAACTGTCTCCAATCATTAGGGGCAGCCCTTAAAAAAGATATGCTTTGCCGACAGCTGCGTCCCCTCGCCTTTGCCAGCCTTTCAAATCGCATTTTCTTTAAAGTGCTCGTCCATATTATTTTTAACCCTAAAGCTGTATGTGCAATGTAGACAACCGCAGAAATTTATAAAGGACACATTTGTATTTAGAGTTCTGGAATATGAAGTAGATATAAAAACATTAAGAACAGCAAGCCTGATTCCATGTGAGCCAAAATGTGGTGTTTCTGCTCAGGGGATTTTTTTAAATCACAATAAGCTTCAGCTTAAGTTGATATGATTAATACAATAGGCAGGTGCAGCCAATGTAACCACAAAAGAAAGCTAAATGTAGTTCAACTGCACAGAACAGCAATAAACATAGAACTGGTCTGTTGTGAAATATAGCAAAGCAATATGTGACACTGATGTGAATATCTTTTAGTGTAAACTGTTTTAAAATCAGATGAAATAGAACAGTGAGTGGAAATGGTGTATATCTCTAGATGTTAGCATTCACCATTAAAATTAGATAATTAGCTCATGAGGGTCTTTCTGTGTCATGTAAGGGAATAATAACCAGTAGAAAATTCACAGAACTTTACCCAGGAAACCTTAATATTCATATTATATCACAGTTTCAAGTTAGTTGAGCTCAATTTGTGCATTTTACCTTCTTCTTTTACTTGCTATGTTGGTGTTGTTCTTTGAGAAATCAAATGTACCCATGCTGCTTCTTTTTGATTTATGTATTCTTTTTTTGATAAGAGTGTACATCTCCAAGTGGACATTACTCAATAAAATAATTAGGTATATTCAATTTTTTTTTTAATTCAAAGCTTATAGTATCTCAATATTACATAAGTTGGACTTTGCTTAATTCAAGATGAAAAACAAACAATTTAGATTCAATCCCTAAAGCAGCATCCTTATATAGTTGTTGTGTTGATGCACTGGATAAAAGCCATCTCCTTGTATCGATGCAAAATGGTTGCTCTTAACTTCCCTGTTTGGTTGCAAAAGGTTTTTTCAGTAATACTATCTTTTTTTAAAACCCAGAGTGCTTTTTGTCCAATCTTGTGCATGAAATGAAATGTGACATTTTCTTGTGAGATATTAAAAGTGATATACGTTCACATACAACTCATTTGTTTATAAAACTACTGACATTTCTTTGCCAGTTCCTGCTGAGAGAAGAACGTACATTTCATTTCCTTGCTTTCAGAGAGACCTTGCACTGTATGCTTAGTGACAGCTGGGTCAGGTCCCCACATATTGAGGACACAGCTGCCCTGCAGACATGTGCTCATGCACAGAAACACACACATGCATGCACACACACACATAAATGCAGACTCTCATGCACACAGCGAGAGCAGGAAAGCAGAGCAGCGTAGAGAAACATACAACCACATTTCTACTGTCTGACATAAAGCGTATCTGCAACAAGTATTCGGGAAGATGCATTATGTTATACTTATTGATTTCACATCAATGTGTGTTCACAAATTTTAATTAAAAAGAAAAACAAATATTGAACTTTGTATGCCATAAAACCAGGTTTGAAAATTATATTAGGAATTATATTAGTAAAGTTTAATATTACATGAATTTATTTTTGTACAAAGAAGCATGAAGGATAGTTTCCTGAAAAATAAAATGCCCATCTGATTGGGGCTTCAGTTAAATATGAAAAAACTGAAATAAGTTAATAATGCTACAACTAAGCACATGTAAGTGGACTGAAATTCTATTGTGCTTTTCCTGCACCTCTCAAGCTGCAGATTGGTAGGGAACTTGGGGCTAAGCGCTTTGCCGAGATGTAAGATGGCTACTCTACTCACTGTGCCACAGTTACTTGGAACTTGGTTCATTTTTAGCATAAAATTTTAATCAAGTGTATAACATTAAAAATATAAAAAAATAATAATCTCATATGCCACATGTTGTAAAAGTTTTTTTGCTGACTGGAATGTGGGGACAAAAATGCAATTTTATAACTTGTGTTTAATGTGTTTTTATTAAAAATAATAGTAATTATGTCAGTTATGCTCATATTTTCCTCCTCCACACTTTTTTGCAATAATATGCATTACCATGATATGATCCGTGGACATATCATGGGACAGACTAAAAACATTACACGTTAAGAAATGTAAGAAAACTGTTTCATTCCTGTCAGATGGCATCTACGTATGGCATAAAGCATGTAGGTCTAAGATAAATAAAACCTACTATGATTAATCAAAATCTGAGTCTGTGCGTAGAAAAAAAGTGACCTGTTAAGCATTTGAGTCATTACAGTAGATTTTTGCTTTGTTTTTCTTTATCTAATGTGGACATGAGAATTAATGTTTCCATTAATTTGTAGTTTCGGCTCACTCACAGAAGTTCAGCTGCTTGTTGTGAATTTAGACATGAATTTTTTTTTTTTTTTTAATTTCTTAATCTTGAAACTAAGTGTGTAAATCCTTACTTTCTGAGATTTTGTGACTAAACTACACTTAAAGGATTTCATTTTTCTAGGTGGTAAAATATGTTATATTCATGAGGGAGCTAACTCAGAATTTGTTGTTTACTGATTTCTTTGTCTGACATAGAATGCTTCTTTTTCCAAGGTGTAATGCAAAGGCAGTTTCAAAAAGCACTCACTGATGAAAAGCAAATCTAATTTAAGAGACTAAAGAAATTAGTTTTCTTTTTTCTTTCATGAGACACAAATAAGTATATCAGAGAGATGGTGTGTAAAAGTCCCCTACCAGAAGCTCCTAGGGGCCATGAATCAACCATGAAGGATAATCAAATCAAATGCAAATGCAGTTTGTGTGAATTTTTTTTTTTTCTACACTTGATGCTTGATGCCCTACGGGGCCTTTTCAATTGTAAGAGGAGGGTCTGTACATAATGATGGGTCACGCTTCAGGGTCCTTTGTAAACATGGTGAGTGGAGCCCTATTCTTGGGGACAAGATGGAATTAGCCCAAGACAAAGAGAGGTGTGAGCAAGGAGCATGAGGATTTCTTTTGCCGCCCAATCAAAACCACATACATATAATATAATTAAAACGCAACACTACCAAAAAAGTCTTCCTGATTTCTTGCAATTCATCGCATATATTTTTTTATAAAATAAAAAATGCTTGGTATCATACGTTAAAACTTTTTACACACTGCAGAAAAAATACCTTGTTTTAAAGCCACAAAGACTAAAAACTTTGAAAGTCTGAAACATAAATAAACTATAATTAGGTTCTCAATTGTTTTTTTTGTTTGTTTGTTTTTTTTGCAAAAGATGCAGTAAGTATGGTTTAAGTGAACATTTCTGAGCCTTTCAGTCTTGTCCTCTGAAACAGGTAGAAATAAGATTCCTGACACCTGTGAGCATCAGAGTAACTACGCCAGTTATAACCAAAGCAGAGACGTCAAACTTCAATGCTTTTAAATCTCTGCAGTTTGGTAAGTCTGTAAATTACAACTTTCAGAAATTATTTTTCTAGAGTTCCTCTTTCTTTCTATAGAATTCAACATATATCTTCACACAACTGCAGTCTTGTGTTGCAGACTACTTTTGTCTTGGGTGGGTATCGATAGATATTATTATGCACTGAATGTGGCTTTCCAAATATAATTTCTTTATTCAGCTTTTGATCATAATGTGGTCTGCATTGCACTAACTTTGTTTTTCCTATCAGATTGTTTGATATATTTGTCAATTGAAAATTGAGCCACCATGGGTTATAAGTCCAAATCTAACTAAAAAGGAAAAGTTGTAAAGTTATACTATCCTGTGATGTATCATATTTTTGTTCTATTAATTATTAATACCATCCAAGTTCAGTGAAAAGTGGGTTATGTATTTCATTTTCAGTCTAAAAACAATATTTAAAAGTTTACATACATTCATCATTGGGTTGAAGTTCATGTTATGAAAGAACTCTTATTTTTTTCACAGAATTCTGACTTTAATCTCACAATTTTGATGCTAATCTTGATGCCCTAAGGGGGCTTTTCAGTTGTAAGAGGTCTGTCTGTACATAATGATGGGTCACGCTTGAAGGTCCTTTGTAAACATTGTGAGTGGGAATCCTATTGATAGCATTATTTTTATTTTTTATTGGCCCTAATCATCTTCCTTAGGCATCACAAAACTTCAACAAATTATTTAAACAATATATGGTTGGATTAATTTAGATGCATTAATTTCTCCACCTTCATAACATGTATATTTAAATAGCACTTAAAAAAAGACAGAGATCGCAATCAAAATCCTAAAAACACAACCACAGCACAATAAAGTCTAACTAATCAGTACAGTCAGTGTCACATTATGTTAAAATCCAAATCTTCCATTTAAGATTTAATAATATGCAAATTGAAGGAAATCCCATATCTCTGAAAAATTGTTTTCAGTGGCTAATGGTATACGGAAAAAAGAAAAAGGTTCAATAACATAGCCTTGTGACTTCAGTAGGTTAGCACAGGATAAGATACTGCTGCCGTTCCTTAAACTTCTCTAGGAGCATTTCATACACTGATGACCTGAGCCTCTGATTCTCACCCATTGCTCCAAACATGAAATAAGCATGCCATTATCAATTGTTTCAATCTAGGGATCTAAAGCC